ACTATCTTTAGGCCAAGGCAGGTCACAGTAGCAAAATTTGATAGTGCTGTCCAAAACTCAAAGTGTTCATTTCAGTCCATCACCCAGGTATGAATTCATTTTCTACAATGTTTCTGAAATAAAATTATTACTGTCACCTTCTATCTCACAAATACACTACATGTTACCAAAAAGATCAGACACAACTCTATTAACAGTTATGTTCCCTTATCAGAAGCACCAGATAGTTACTGTGCCCCAGGTGCATCTCAGAAGGTATCTTATAAATAGAGAATCATTTCAGTCACTCAAGTCTAGGGCTCGAGAAAAGAGCACAATCCTGCATTTTATCTTCGTGCTGAGATTCTAAATTTGTCTCAGGTACCTGGAAGTTTTCAAATCCTGTCAAGGATCTTTTCTGAGATCTAAGAAAGATTTTTATTACTGGTTTAATCCCATAAAAAAACTTTGGTAGTCACTGCCATGAAAAGAGGAGCATAAAGTCCTGTGATGGTGCCCAGTATCAGCAGCCCATACTCTTCAGGTACCAAAGCTTACATACCAAAGAAGCAGGGACTGCAACAGCAGCTTAAATATTTCAAACACTCACTGACAGGCCAAGCTACCCTTCCAGATACAAGAGTTGGCAGTACATCTAGAAGCTGTGTTCACTCTGATGAGTTTTGAGCGAGATGTCCAAAAAAAAAAAAAGCTACTATCTGCACAGGCCTTTAAAATTACCTGGTGAAGATAATGTATCACTTGTCACAACAGCCTTGTCTAGCTCTGATTTTTTTAAAAATATATATATATATTACATACATACATATGTATATACATGCTAAGATCTAATGGTCGTTCTCCAACTTGAGATGTGCAATCACATCTTTTGAGGATTACCAATATGCTCTCCAGAACAGCTCCAGGAAGGGGAGCATCTCAAGTTTTCAACAATTAGCAGAAGGAGTGGAACATGTCTGTAGCCAGGATGATACTAATACCTCTGAGTTGAGAGCAAGAGAGACAAAATACTCCTTTGGTTTCTATCAAGAGATCTGCTGACCAAAGAGATCTATAATTCAGGCCCAGAGCAAGAAGAGGTGAAAATGCAGGAGTGTTTACTTTGCTGGAGAAGTTTTCCACATTGCACTCCATTGTTAATACATCCAAAAAAGGTTCAGCAAGGTTTGACCCAGAATGTGCACTCAGTGCTTAATTTGCTACTGCTTTGTTCATAACAGTGCATAGGATGGTGCTTTACTGGGTGCTTGTGTCATGCTGACCCAATTGGCACAGAAACTTTTCCAAAGAAATAATAAAGACAAAAAGATTTTCCACAAAAGGAGGACAGAGAAAACAGTATTGAAGATCAACATCTTTTAATTTAGCAGCCACTGTTTACATCAAGAGATGACATGGTAACAGTAAAAGATACTCAAGACATGCAAGTTTTTCTAGCCTAAGTGAATTGTATACACATTAAACAACACAGTAAGATTTGAATAAGCAATATGCAAGAACTTTAACATACAGACTAGTGCTCCAAGAACAAATGGCTGGTCAATTATTGCCTAGTCAGATGTAATCAGCAGCGTACAGAATTAGCAAAACGCTTTTGCACACCTGTAGTGTCTTCTGATTCTTACTGCCATGATTTGTCTTTCTGATATTTTTGGTCAAATCAAGGGCTTATAGTCTTTCCAATACACACTGATTACTGTCTGTACAAAAGACTGTGCTAAGTGCAGTCACTGATTACTGAAGTGGACTGACAATAACTTGTGATATATTTAGAACAAGTTTAAAATGCATTTTCTTCATGGTAAATGAGATCTCCTCACAGGAAAAAAAAATATGTTTAGATACCAGAAGTATTTTAATTTCTCTCATATTCAGTAGTGTGTGTGTATACATACATACATGTCTGTTGTTCCACTATGATGATGTGAAGTACTTCAAAATCATGTTTCCCATGTTAGTTACAAACCCTCTAAATAAAAATACTAGACAGCCATTTGAGTACTGGAGTTCATAGTTTCTTAAGCCTAGAGCCTACAGTTTATTCTGAAAGCAAGTTTGCATACAGAGCAGGTTTATGAGATTTGAATCACTTGTTTCAACTCATCTGATGAGCCTATGAACTAGCTACATAGTGAAGAGGAATAAAAAGATTTTAAAGTATAGAGGTGTAATGAATCATGCCTATTTATTAGTCATCCTAATGAATACCTGCAAATTATTTTGCAATAAGGTTATTTTAACAAATTGGAGAACACAGACATATGTCAATTAATGTGACATTTGCACAGTTTACTGTCAAGCAATTCTAGTAATTATCTAAAATGGTGATTAGATATCACAGCAGCTGAGATATTTTAGAATTCTTTAGATTTCCAGGATGGAAATTTACTGTGTATAATTACATTACTGAGAAATATCTATATAGTAAATGAATATGCAGATATCTTTATTTAGCAACCATGATGCATCTACATTTACTAGCTCGTCCGTTTACACTGTTCATGCTGTTTGCAGAAGGCCATTAGCCCTAATTTTCAACTTGTTTTCTAGAAAAAAGTCAAATTTACAAGAAAGGAGATTGAAGTACTAAAAAAAAATAGCACAATTAAAAGAGTGCTTAGCACAAAGAGATTACAGTCCATGACTATGGCTCCCAGCAATACTTCTTAAACACTGTCAATTTGATTTCTCAAAGTCAGAAAGAAAATACTAAAATCCTTTTAAAATACCTTTTTTATATAGTTATCTCAGAAAAACTTCTGTAAAGTCTTGTGCTTTTTTTTTGTTGGTATAAGCAATAGATATAGTAAGCTTCCTAGCAAAATTACCTCATCTCACACTATGACCATGTCTTGTCTTGCTGTACTTAAACTGCACAGACGTTGAGCAGAGGCCATACCTTTTTTCAGAAACTTTTGCCATCATTTTTAATACAAGTATAGTTGGTCAAAGTTCTAATGTATTTTTAAATGTCTTCATTAATGCACACATGTTAATGACAGCAATAGTCTAACACATTTTAGGCTGAGAAACCCCACAAATCTATTTTAAAAGCTAAAGCCCTTCCTTTTGTTTAAGGAGAAGCAGAAGTCCACCAAGGGAGTAGGGCTTTCTTCAAATAATCAGAGAAAATGCTTAATAAACCTACACTTTTCATCTTGCAGAATCAATCTGAAATACTCATAAAATAACTCATAAAAAAACACAGCATAGTTCAGGATGAAGTCTTTTCTGCACCATATTATTCATTGAAAGAGTTCCCTGTAGCAATTACAAAACAAACTATAAAATATTGAACTTAAGAAAATATAAAACATGGTCAAAGAAACAGTAAACAAGGAAGACATAAAATTGGATGGAGTAAAGAAAAAGAAACGCAAATATAAGGAATGGTTATAACAAGACAAGAATTTAAACTTAGGTTCTTCGAATTTTACCAAATATTCATGGCTTGCAGTGCCCAGAGCAGGTACGTGAGTAAGCACATAGTGCTGCTCTCAAAGACACAGATAAAGAGATAAGATACAGAAGGTAACACTAACCCCACTCCAGAGCAAACAACACATTCTCCTCGGGCACAGAAGCAATAGCTCCCATGTTAAAATGTTCAGTTCCTTCATGGTCACTTTTGTTGAATCATTCCCAAGATGAAAGAGAATTTCAGAGCACCTCAAAGGAAGAAAGTTATTTAGCTATGGAAAATTCAGGTATAGCAATATGGCTTGCCTAAGGCAACAAGAGAAACTTGTGCAGCTGGAGACAGTGTGGATTCTCTTCGCTCCTAAATTCTACAGAAGACAGAGAATCCAATGATAACACACAGTCTTTATAGCTCAGACCTCCTTAAGCAAAACAAAATGAACCATCAGTTTCAAACCTTAAGAAGAAGCCACATTAAAAGATAATAAAATTACTCCAACTAATACAGTGAAGAAAAATCCAGCATTCTAATAATTCAGAATTAACTCTGTTCTCTTGATAATCTCAACTAACAGATGTTTTAAGAGCACTTTCTGCAGAAAAGCAGCCTCTGTCCAGATAGTTTTTGACTGACTGTCAAGAAAAAGACAACAGAGCAATTTATATTAGAAAACCATAAGGATCAGTTCTCAGGTACAGGTAAAAAGTTTACAAACTTTTCAAGGAAAGCTTTAAAATGTGCTGATAATGGAACTAGAAGTATTAAAATGTTTATCTTATTTTCCACTGATTCCTTTATGGACACTAGCTCACAGGATTAAAATCAGTTTCACAGTTATAACTAGATGATTCAAGTTTTCATCTGGGGGACTCATAAAACACTACAGAGCACTATATGGTTAGATGGATGAAGGTCAAACATACGTAAATTTCCCACTCTCCAAGTCAGACTTTTGAGAAAAACATACAGACCAAAATAAGTATTTGTAATTCCCAGCAGCCAACAAAATTCCTTCTGAACGTATTCTATAATTTCCCTAAATTTGATTTCCACTAAATCAGAGCCAAACTGACCAAACTGTCCGACTGGACACTGTTTGAATTAATCCACTAAAAAGGTCTGGACTTACAATATCCACACAGTCCAGAAAATAAAATCAGTAACAACCTTTGCCTAACATCTCAAACTGCAGCACTCATTTGAGGAATGACTAAGCAGTAGTAGGAAGAGAATGGATAGAATCCTCCTTACAACACCAGAGTACCTTAGCCATTATTTTGATGTTGAAGGAATAAGGTAATTAGCACATCTCTGTCACAATGTATAAGTATCTGAAGATTTCCAAAATAACAAGTCCACTGAATCTGTTCCTGCTGTTCCCTTGACAAACAGATAAAGCTGACCTCTTCAGGTTCATTTCGCTCAGAAACAGAAGACTGACACCATCTCCTTTTCATAGAAGACGACTGTCATCTCTCTACATCTTGAAGAAAAAGTACAATCTCATCAATTCCTGAAAGGAGTGGTACTTGTAATTACAGGCAGGTTAGAAATTGTGTAAAAATATTTAATTGATTACCTCTCCTATAAAGACAACCATAACACAATCCAGCTTTTCTTCAGGGGACAACTTATCAATAAGGGAGTGGAGAGTTTCTGTAAGGTAAGACTTGACTTTTCTTTTCACTGTAGGTATTCCCATTACAATAGAAACTGAAATAAAGCAAACCAGAATGTACTTTCAGTGATTTCATAGACAAGATAGAAAAAAAAAATATCTTATCTCGTACTAAAGCATTGCTTAAGAAATGCAAAGAGATAAAAGACAGAGATAACAGTAATAAAAACACACCACCCATCATCAGGAGCATGATTTACCATAATCACCACCAACACTCAGAGCAAACACAGCAAACACAGCAAACACAAAAAAAGTAATCCTAGACATACCAGATTATTACATAGGCAATAATCAACAACCACCGTATTAATCAGATAAGGTGCAATAAATTTTATAGAGGGATTAAACTTTTCAGTTTTATTTTCAAATTGGCATAACCATTTTTCACAAGTCAGGTATTTAACTTCTCAGAAGTTGTCTTCTAAAATGCCACTGCTGAAAAAAAATCCATTACTTTCCTTGCACCTGATTTGGGTTCTTCTAGAAAAACAAGTCCAGGTCATCAGGATTGCTCAGAAATTCCTCACTAATTCCTCACTGAAATCTCTTATCCCTGTTAAAAGTACTTCAAATGCAAAGCAATCTGGTCCCAGCTACAACACTGTTAACATCATCTTGAAGCCAGCCGGCTGACTCCTGTGTTCCCTAACTTTCCCATAGCCTTTCTTCTGCACCCCACCCTGTACCCAGGGCTGGCTACCAACTAGGAACACAACAGATAGCAGCAGGAACAAAGTAACAGGAAGCAGACTTCATGAAGCCAGCACCAGCATTGCAAGCCATCTGTGTGAAATGATTTACCACATCATAAATATATAAAATCAAATGACTATTAAAAAATGTTGTTTATCCTTCCTTATAGAGCCTGCTTTGCCTAGCAACTAACTACATGTTAACAAGCTCTGAATTTTTAAAACAAACACTGAAAAAACACAGTGACCAGGAAAGGAGAAGACAGGAAAATAATTTTAACTCAGAATGTCCTCCTTTTTAATTAAAGAAACCTGATCCCAATTTCTAGTTTGTAATCTCAAATTTCTGTCATATATTCCCAGTGGGATATAATACAGGCTTCACTTGAAACAATAAAGGAATATAAGCCTTTTCCTTCCTGAATAACAACATTGGAATTAATGTCTGTTTATGAAATTAAATATTTATAGTCAGAAAAATAACCCTATGGCTTGAGCCTGCACCTTGCGCCTGCACATTTGTCACACAGGCATGCCTTCTGTTAAAAGAAGGAGCAATCAAACTTAGTGAAGTAATGAAAAAAATGCAGGCTAGGAGTAACCAACACTTCTTTCAAAAGCAAGGAGGGGGAGAAAATGAAAAAAGAAAGGTGTAGTGGACAATAAAACAAGCCATTCAAGTCAGGTGGCACACAGAGAAACAAGGACTTATTGGTGGGGCCTTCAAGCTTAGAGACACACACACATATGCTTTGCAGTACATCAGCTTGGTTGAGCTTTACGCTATTTCTTTTCTAGAGCTCCAAGAGTGGGATTCCATTGAGCTATCCTAATGACCAAAGCTCAGAATTTGTGCAGATTACAAAAAAAATAGTCTCGCAGCACAACACTGATTACTTTCCCCTCCAACGAACGTACACATTTCATTGATGCAATTATATCTGACTATCCTAGCTCTCCCAACTCTAAGTTATACATCAAAATATATTGTTCAAAAACCCAGAAACATTAAATCTAAAATAATTATATCCATGCATGGTTTCCCCACAAATCTGAAAAGCCAAAGGGATATGTCCATTAGCAGTTCAGAATCTGTTATTCAGAATCTTGAGCTTTGTTCCCTTTTACGTAGTTACAAAAAATTCATCCAAACTAAATGCTTCTTAATATGTACCTTAACATGGCATGGGGTGTGATTGAGATTATGCAGAAAAGACTCCTTTCATCTTGGATTCAGAGCAAATTCTAAGAGATACCAATATCACACAAGTTAAATGAGATGTCCTTGATCTACCAAGTAATGCAGTAAATTATATTACTAAAACTAGAAAGTCCTTCAGATATAAAAGATGAAATAAACACCATATCAGCATACCTCCTGTCCTTCCAAGGCCAATCTGCACAGAAGGTTGAAGGCTTCCTTCATTTTTCAACAAATGAGGCAAATGGTAATAGATATTTGGCACTTGAAGAGATTTTCTACTTGTTAACTCTTTTAACAATTTCAGCGTCTCATCTGCAAACATACAAGAAATCAGTAATGCAGAAAACAATACGAAGTTGTATGCAGTGGTAAACAATAACAAATTCCAAGCTTGGTCCTAACTGAAAAATAGAACAAATGATGCATTTTACTGAGGCACTGTATCTTGTATACAAAGAAAGTCTTGTTTTAATTTTTTAAATAAATTATGGCCAAGATAATTTTCCACTTAGTAACCTTGCTACAGATATACTTAATATTTAAGACCTAGCGTGTAATCACAGAAGTAAAAAAAGCAACATTTATTTAGGTTGCAGGTTTTTTTCCCCAATTAATCAAAATGGGACGCTTATTTACCTATATTATTTTTTACTTACACTTACAGAGCTCATTAACATATAGTGATGCTACTGCAAATAACTTTTCAAAGCTACAAATATAGATGTGAATACCCTGCACATACAGACACAAAACAAAAATAGTATTAAATATACAATTGAGATTTTGAATATTTCTACAATAAAATAAATGCTAACACAAATTTAGTCCATTAGAGTACTTAAAATAATTCTTGCTCTTTCTAGAATAACTGCATCTCAGAATGTCCAGGTGGCTCTCAAAGTTGCAACTAACAGCTTTCAAATTCCCCTTCTGTGCATGTTGATTTTCTTACATCAAGTGTGAAAAAAACTCTTATTTCAAATGACAAATATGATAGCATATGGGCCTTTGAAAACTTATGGGCTTTACAGTATCAAGTTAAGTAAAAAACTCTACTCATAGTTTCTGAGAAAAAAAAACGAACTGTGCAGAAGTGAGAAAAGTAATGCCATAAATGTCATTCACCTCAGATTCTGAGTGTAGCTTCTACAAAGCTGAAACAGTTTTGGTTTGAGTTTTGTTTTGGGTTTTTCTTAATATTTATTTTTGGGTGAAACTAAATTCCTAAGCATTTATAATCTTGAAAAATGCTTTGCAAATAGATTCCATAAGTAGAGACGCTAATTTTGATAGATTCCAATACAGGTACATTTTAGTTTTCCTGCTAACATTTCCTTTAACTTCAACTGCAAAAGCGAGACTAAAAATTCTCTCAAAATCTGACTACTCTTTGTAGGAATGAATAATGATTTACATAAAACAATCTGGAATTCTTTCAGCTTCAAAGATAGCAAATACTACGTAGAATTATGTATACTTAAGTACACTAAACTTAATAAAATCTATCTAATACTAAGTTCTGAGCACAAAAGCTCAGGAATTCAGACTTCAGCTGACTTCCCACCACGGCTCCACATGGAAAAAAGGGGATGTCCTAGCTGGGATGGAGACATGGTAAAAAATTTAAAATGTGAATCAGTAACTTCAGCTGCATCAGAAGAAAGTAACTCCCTACAACTACACTGTCTATAAGCAAGCTAACTGATTTTTAGAAATACATGTGGTAATAACTTAATCATAAATCCAGTATCAAAATTACTTCCTCTATTGCTGTTCACTATAACAGCAAAAACATACACATAGGAGAGGAATATGAGTCTTAGACTATGGTAAATGTAACCTTTACCCATACCATTCCTGGAGATCCAGAGAACTATGGAGATGAGGTTAGATAGGCCATTAGTGTCACAGAGAAATTAATCCTTAATATCAGCACTGAGGGCCTATAATTATAACCCCTCCCCCCACCCCAAAAAAAAAACATCTACAGAAGATAGTAACCCATAGCACAAATGCAAGTAGATAAGAGATTCAAAAAGCTTTATCCAGTTTTCTGATTTGGAAAACTCTTTGAGTTCCTTATTAGGCCAATACAGTGAAATTTCTGCAACCTACCAAATCAGACCTCTCACAAGAAAGTTTATATTTGTTATTCATTTTCCATCTAGAATAGTCAGAGTGACTAAAATAGTAATAGCGTGATTTTAAAAATTAACTTTCAAACTGGTTAGTAGTGCAAAGGCATTCTCTAATAATACCAAACACAACTCTCAGTAAACTTGAGCATCAGCCTCCAAAATGGGTAAAAACTTATGAAAGACTTTACCAGTTCAACATTTAATCATTAGTTATTAAAAAGGACATTATCTGTACATTTTACAAATCATAACCAATACCTTAACCTGTACATTTTTATACCTTCCAGCTGATTTTTAAATATATTTTAATTGCTTTGAGTTCATGCATTTCTTAAACACTGTATGCTCACCCTTTCCTTCAAGCTCTATTTAAAAAGTCATGTAAACTATTGTCAAAATATATTCAGTATACTACATAAGTAACCAGAAGTTCGAAACTTTCGGAGCTAGGCATGAAATAAGTATTCAGTGCCTAAAGTAAAAAAAAAAAAAAAAAAATAAGAGTGGGTGGATCATTAAGAATAGAAATTGGAAAAAAAAAAATCCCCATCAGTTGTAAGGTATTACATATTCTTTATTTGCACTGCAGAAAAGTTTAATTCAGATTTCTTGGTATTAATTTATTATTCTATAGTAATAAGAAGAGATACTAGTAGTGCGGAGTTATAAAAAATAGCTCATTCGCAGTATGTACCTGAAAAATTATTCATTGCATTCTTACTCCCATTTGTTTCTGCTACTGCACGCCTGAACTGCTCCAAGATAGCGTTCAGCTCAGAAGAGCGTTGCAGAGTGCGATGCTCAGCTATACGAAGACGTTCCTTCAAAGCATGAAATTCCCGTTGATATGCTATCAACTTTTCTAGAGAGAAAAAAAAAAAAAAAAAAAGATCCTTGTTATTTTTGGAAACAAACACCTACAGACAGATCCAACAAGGCTCATGGACTGCTCAGCTATGCAGCACCTGAAATTCAACCGAGAAGGGCACAGCCCAGCACCATCCCACCTGAGTTAGGCACCTCAGCATTTACACAGCATACCGTGGGAAGAGCGAGCTGCACCAGACACGGATACCAAGCAGGCACTGAGGGGGGTATGCCCCTCTCTGTAGCCACAGACAGGGGCAACCTTCGAGGCCCCATTACTCAGCACCACAGTGCAATTCTGAATCTTTTCTTGAAACAGATGCCCACAAACCCTTTCTTTTAAGAAGCAGAATAGGAGTTGTGCCTTACAAAAGCACAGGTTATGCCTTTTGAAAGCCCCTCTGAATACTCTGTAAGAATTAGTGGAATACTTCAGACATACCAATTTCAAACCTAAGTTTTAACTTAATATTGGCAGTGCCTGCAAGAATAAAATTCTGATCAAAATCCTGCTTATGTAGAGACGTACATGTATTCTTCAAAAGGAGACCAAAAGGGAAAGGGAAACACCAAAACTCATTTGCTGATATATTGCCTACGCTCTTGCCACCCAGCAAAGTATCTCTGCTTTGTGCATCTTTCCTTCTTTCTACAGGTCATTTCCTCCAATCTTTTGCTCACCACCTTTTCTCTCCTTCAGCTAATCTACGGATACAGACTGGAGTATCTTAAGTGATCCTATATCTTGTAATCAATATTCCAACCACACAGCTGTCATCCATAGACATATCTTTTTTATTATTTACCTGTACATTCCTAGCCTTTTAGTGCTGCAATGATAAGCAAGTAGAAGTTTTGCAAGCAATTTGAATCTCTTCCTGTTGCTACATTACAGTAACACATGGAGTAAAAAAATGAATTACAGTCAACTTTCTCTTGTTAATAATGCTGCATTTCCTCCAACTTCTTTCAATTTACATTTATTTTCTGTTTTGTAGTTGAGATGCACTGTTCTGGTTATGTTTAGAAAACATAATTAGCTAAAATGCCCTCTGTTTTGAAGACAGAAAAATAAAAACACAGTTCACTACCTCCTAAAAACATTTCCCTTGCCAGTCTTATTTTCCTTTTTTTCATTAAAACCAAATGGTTATTGCTTTTGTGCCAACAAACCCAGAACACAGATGCTGGCCCACAATACAGTGCTAGGCATACTACACACTGACAACTGAATCCAGACTGCTATTTGAAATAGGACTTGGTGCTTTAGTCAGCCGCACTGAGAAGGCCAGGAAAATTTTCTGGAGTTTCTGGCATGAAGGACATTCTTACTTGCTAGTGGTAACCGAGAGAAATAAAAGATTGCTTGGAACCATGTCTACTAGCTATAGTAACATTACAAATAATTTTAACAGCTAAATGAATATAGAATTGCATTAGCGTAGAAGCCACACAATTGTGCAAATGATATCCCCTCCCCAAAATGAACGAATGACAGCAGGTTATATAGATCCCTGTTAATTTCTGTATAAATAGGAAAGAACAGGTGAGCAACCAAAGGACATGCAAGGTTTTATTGGCGGTTTCTATAGCAGTGCATAGCACCAGAAGCAGCCTGTAGCATCAGGTCTCCCTTCTTGTCTTCTTTCATGGTACAAGATAGCAGACAAACTTTGGTACTTCTGTTCTTCCTGCTTTGCAAAGGCTAAAGTTGACTGTGGCAGAGTCTGTATTTCTCCTGGGAAAATGGTGGGAACCCTATGGAACCTGTGGTTTAGATTCCAGCACCTCAAGTGGGGTGAATTCAGGTCTCCCTCTCTTGACTTAGCCAAATTCTTGTCAGAGATTGTTTCTCTTTCTACACTTGCTAAAATATATCAGCACATCATGCACAATGCTCCGATGATTCTGAGGCTCTAAGGAACAGTAATGGCCCAGAGGGAACAATTTGCTTAGGAATACATCAAACTGTGGAGAATCACAGTAGTTCCCCTGCCACCTCCACCTAGCAAACTCCATAATGCAAAATCAGAAGTACCTTACTACTAAACGCAGTTGTAAACAGAGATTAAGATTTTTCTACCTCCCTGGTAGAAGGTAGGTAGTGCACCAGCTGGAATCACACGACCCTTGTAATCTCACAAATTAAAACTGTCATAAAACCACAAGAAACTTAGAGGTCAGTCGAAAAGGCAGTTTTATCATGTGAAGAAATGAAAACTGTAGTTTCATATTAAGAACTACCAACAAAAAACCCAACAGAGGAGGTGGCTGTTACAACACCTTTAATTGACAAATAATACAATATGTCAAAAATAAAAAAGGCAATTAGTTAATTTATTTCTAAAGAAACTTGGAATTATACATGTAGAAGTAAACTTTTATTTTCACAACTTGTCATAGCCATTTTTGAGCAAAGAACATAGGATCCTAACTGTGGCACTGTAAAACAGAATCACAGAATTATAGAATCACCCCCATCTAACAAGAAGGGCTTAAAGGAGAATCCAGGAAATTATAGGCCATAAATGTTACCTCAGTCCCTGGGAAAGTTATGGAATGAATCCTCCTGGGGACTATCACAAGTCAAATGAAGCATGTGATTGGAAAAAGCCATCACAGATTCACCAAGGGCAAATCGTGTTTGACAAACCTGATTGCCTTCTACGACAAAATAAACTGCTGGGTTGATGTGGGGCGAGCAGTGGACATTGTCTACCTGGATTTCTCCAAGGCTTTCAATACAGTTTCCCACAGTGTCCTCCTAGAGAAACTGATGGGTTACAGTCCAGACCAGTGCTGTGTGCAGTGGCTGGGGAACTGGCTGACAGGCTGCACCCCAAGGGTGGTGGTAAATAACTTCTTTTCTCCTTTTCATAGAATCATTAAGGCTGGAAAAAGAC